AAGCGCGGCGGAAACGCAGAATGCCAAGTAGCTGGGATAGAACGAGACCGATTCGGCTGGAAAGTTACGGGGTTGCATCAAATTACGGCGATAATTACCTGTATTAAAATTCATTGCTTGTTAGAGTACGTTTTCTGCAATTTATGCGAACCCTCTCCTGGATCCGTTTGTTTTTCCACGTTCTCCCGGCGATATCGATTCCATCGTATCGCCTCCTCTTAATCCCATCTCGGCCGTTTCCACGAGTAAATTAACTTCCTCCACCGTTGCCCCGGTAAGAACCGTTGCCATGAAATTCTTTGCCATATCCCTTTTATTCCGAACGCCCGACAAGCCTTCTTCCCTCTCCCTTCTGCTAATTATACTTTCGCCGTGCGAAAGCACGCCCGATAAGAAATTCATCGGATACCAGATGGAACGCGCGCCAATTCGCCGTGTCCCTCTGCGCTACGTGTAAGACACACGAGCATCGTCCACGCGATGCAGTGTTATCATAACCTAGTAACGCCAAATATTGATTTTGACACGTACACGTGACGAGCCGCTAGACGTTCGTATATAAACGCGAGGAGAGCGGGGGGGGGGCAGAGAGAGAGAGAGAGAGAGAGAGACACACACGCGTACATTTAAGCATACGTATATCCCTGTCTCTGTGCACGCGTCTTCGGCGCCTCTGTCGCGTCTGCTACGTGCACGCGCGCGTCTGCGTGCCCGTGTGTGCGTGTGCGTGTTCCGCGTCGCACGCACAGGCCTCGCGGAGCGAACACACGCGCACCGCGTCGACGCGAGTCGACACACGTAGCGCGAGAAATCATTTCAATGTCCGTTCGATTCATCCGCGCTGTCGTATGCGTGGTGCGCGCGTCAAATTCATCCACCTACACATTGTCCCGTCGAAAATTCACGCTCCCCTTCGCCGTGCGAGCCTGTATGCGCTACGCGACGGCATTTGAGACGCGTATCGAGTGTTACGGAACACCGATACGCCCGTGCGTTTGCACTTCCAACAGAAACAACGCCGATTCCCCTACCATAAAACCGAGGTAATTGGAGGCATTTCGGAAAAATACCTTCCAAAGAATGCTAACCTACCGTATAACTCGCTCGCGTGAAACGTTATTTCTTCTTATTCCCTTTTCTCTCTCTCTCTCTCTCTCTCTCTCCTCTCGTCGTTTTCCTACGCGTATCGTAATCGATTTAATATTTCTGCGACGAGCATCGGTTTAACGTCGTCGCGAGCGATGAGAAAAAATTCGGAATTTCAATGTCGTTGCACGTTTATAGCCAATCGTTCGCGAATAAATCATTATTATTTTCCAGACGATGTTTTCACATTCGGTTAGTACAACTGCATATGCGCCATGTAAAAGGAGGTCATGGTACAACCAAATAGCAATAATAACACAACTATAAGTTCGGTCCCACCACGCGACATTCTAAAACGTAAAATTCATAGAAAACCAATTGTCCTGCATTCCACTGACATCTTTCGGTTCTGCGCCGAATTATCAACCGCGCGATTGCAGATTCCTGCATCGGGTTCCTGCTCCGTGTATTACCATCCAAGTAACCGATACCGCTGGTAACTTATTTATCGACCGTTGCTGTCGTTTTATCGAAAGAACTGACTTATCAACACCGATATCGGTTTCGTACCTCGAATTTTTCTACTTTACCGGCGATTTTTTTGGACAAGGAAGGGATCTACGAATCGATTGAACGAACTGAGACAGAATCGAGTTCAAAGATCAACGACCAACGATGGAAAGATATAAATTGCGATTCGATCGAATATCCAAAATACGTAATTAATCGAGTAACAGCTTCTTCACTGCTTTATCCGCGATAAACGAACGTTTACTGGATATATTGCTTCTAAATAATTCGTCTTTGTGCTTTCATGTAGACGTGTGTTTTAAATATTGTTATTAACCTTGATTAATATGCGTACATTTGTACCTTATTTCTATAGCACCGCAATTCCCAACTTGAACACGATCCTTGGACATTTCACCTATGACAAAGCTATTTTACAATTAAAGATTATAGTGGAAAAATGCGATAAGTAGTATTAGTTGTCGATACGTTATCAACCAATCACGTGTAGCAAATCTGTCTTTTTATTTGATTTTGAGATTACATTAACGGATAATTTTACCCACGTCTTAAACTTTTTACAAATGTCATTATTTTAAAAAAATACTCATACAGAAACGTAAACGACACACCGATCGGCGGATTTTCGACTTTTTCATAAACGCGTACCACCAAAGAAAGATATAAACATTTCAAGATTATATTCCTATTTAGATTACTCGATATAATTTCACTCTCAAGTTATCAGTCACTTTTGCATTTTTTTTCACGTTCAACGAAAACACTTTTTATATTCGTGTGTGACTCCTTCCTAGTGTTCGTTCCCCTCCTCGCTATACTTTGTTCAACAAAGAAGTCACACAGTGCGAGGAAACGCGACGATAGAAAAGAGTGCAACATGGGAAGAAGAGAGAAAGGGGTAACGAAGCAGTGATTGGACTGTCGACGATTGCGTTCGACGATGACGGATCAGCGAGTTGTGTTGCACAAATTATCCACATACCACCAGCCATCTCTCGTGTACCATCAATAGTAGCATTCATTGAGAGCTACTGGTCTATAACTTATCTAAATTCACCGTTCTACATTGTAGAGACGCAACAAAATCTTTAATATTTTTCAACGGTGGCATTTCGAATCTTGTACGATAAAATTTCGTCCATCGACGAGTCTGTTTTGTACGACGACCATATTTTAATTAGTTTCTTTTCTAATTTTATTGCGTCCTTGTTTTTCTGCATTTTTACATACACAGCAAGATATTCGTTTTTACATACTATCGTTCTTCCTTGATACAAACAGTTGCTTATACATATTTATATAGGATCCTGTATGTCGAACAATCGATATCTCTGTGTTAATATTATTAATTTATACGAAAAAAATTTTTTAAAGTTATTAATAACTGTAATGAATTTTTTGTGTACGGAAAAAATATGACAAACTACGTTCAAACTTCCCGCCATTTCTCATTACAGAGCCTTTATCTGCTAATGAAACAGAAATGCATGGTCCAACGCTAGATGGCGTGGCTAACTTATCTGTAGCCTGAAAATATCAATATTTTCGAGACAATTCTACAATCGTAACCTGAGTTGCATGCAAAACAAACAAATGTCAAGATATTCGTTCGTCTATTAAAATTATATGCATAATACTTTATGGAATATTTAATAAATTCTTGCGACTCGGAAATGCTTAATTTCTCGTAATAAAAACAGTGTTGTCGTTATACCGGAAGTGACGGAAAATTGGAGGGAAAACTATATACTTTTAGCGTAAAGCTAATGTTTAAAATTTTAATATTATTAATTCGTATCCGAAAAATAAAAATTATCGTACAAAATATTCGTACAAGCTTATCGTAGTTTTTCGAGATGCAAAAACATTATTCGTTATCATAGAGTAGTTGAAATACTGATCGATGGTACAGCGTGTACTCGAAGTGAATCCGCTAAAAATGAAACCGCCATTTTAAAGCGTTCAAACACCCGTGGCGGCATTACGTTTCGACGTGTCATCAGTAAATATATTATCCAGGCTAAAATAAAAGAACTTAAATGCGTAGGTCTTTCAAAAAAAAATTTAAATTTATTTTCATAAAGTTTTTAAAATAAATTTATATAGAATTTTATTGAGAAATTCGTTTCTCAACGGACCTGCCGGATTGGGTATAGTTACCTTCAAAAGTATTTACGTCGAAGCTGTCATAATCTCCAGCTACATGTGTTAGATGATAAAATCGAGAAAGGCGCTATCTAACAAATATCTTCCTTATGAAAAACTGATACGATTTTGTAAATACATCATCCCTCTGCGTTAAACGATTATAAAGTTATGAATTTTCGAACATCATTTATTCGAAGCAACCTTCCAAACGTGTTGATAGTTACTGTACCACTAAAGCGAGGAAGAAACCGAGTGGTCGCTTCGACAGTCGCGGCCTATTAAAATATCGCACTGATTGGATGCAATTACACGTGAATGTATCAATTTTTAGATATGATAAATACATATTTGTTACATAAATTTGTTACATCTGTAAACAAATACAGATCGATTCGTACAATACATGTTGTATATAAAATTCCCTGTTTCGTAAACAAACTGCCAAAATTGTTATAAAGATAATGAAATGCACAATATATGCAGATGATACGAGAGATATAAGGGAAAATGAGTTTTCGATTGTATACGACAGTGCTATTACCAGCGTGTAGTTTCGCCTAACGAAACTGGAATCGCGACCGATATTCACCAAACTATTAGTTTTTTTTTATATATCTGTAGAATGTATACTGATTGTCATATGATGCGACTATATGCCAACGCTACGAATCCCGGAGTGGTCGCTTTGTACAGTCCATTTCGATAAAACAATCCGAAGGATCGCGAAAAATTATATTCCAGTCTATTAAATTATGTACATTATTGAGCATGGGGCATTATAAGAAACTAATAGAGAAAAAAAATTTGACCCGATTTGGTGTATACTATATCTACCTAACATATCAGAGAGCAATGTTATGGATTATTGAAAATATATTTTCTGGAAGAAATAGTGCTAGGTATACGAGTCGACTGTACCATAGACGCCACCGGCAGCCACGAGCAGTCGCTTGAAGTATAGTTACAGCCAAAAGATTTTCACGAACGTATTGGCGGAACATCAAAATAGGATCATTCGATCGCAAAATTACGAGTGGGGCGTCATGAGAAACTTGTAGATCGTAAAATACTAACACGATTTGGTGTATATAGTATTCGTTTTTAACGTATCCCTGCCGAGATATCTGTTTTTGAAGTTTCATAAAAGCAACGTATATCGTCTCACTGTATAGCGTGACTGTACCAACGGACGCTACGGGAGTCCGCAGCCGGCATAGGTTCAGTTGGCAGCAGTACGCACAGCGAGAAGGACACGATCATGGCTGATATTTCGAACGAAGAACTTCGTAAGGAAATCACCGGTAAGTAGCAATATCCTTCGATTTACCGAACTGTCGCCTCCGATTATAATAAAATTAAGTTAATAATCAGTCGTGGTGCAAGTTATTCGTACGTTCGCGAGTAGGAATACGTAGGAAATCGGGCTCTTTGCTCTTGCGACGTGACGACTTTAGCGCGCACGTATGTGACGAAGTGGCGTGCCCCACGCCGGCCATTACAACCACAGCTCACCGTATTTCCACCTACGTACAGCCTTACTGGTACATTGTATCGCCTAACGGTTTCGTGCAATCTGTTACTAAATTTTTTATAAAATATTTCGATGTCTTGGAAAAATTTGGATTTTCCATTGGTTTTCTATAATACCGTTCCTTGTCCTATTCTATAGTATGCTGTATGACGCGTCTGACTGTGGTGGCGCGCGCCTGAAGCCATCGCATGCTTCATATCTCGCTCTTTCTCTCCTCTTCACGTCTTTTACAACGTGAAAAGCGATCTTAGCATGGACCGTGTCCTCATTTTCTAGAATATTTCAACGGATTCTACATTTATTTTCTCATTTTTCCATTCTAAATATAGCTTCGTTTCCTGAATTTTATTCGCTTATTTACAGTTGCAGTTGCGTCGTATTTCGTTGCCGCGAATATACGCCACTTTTTACCTTTTCCCGCCGTCTCAAAATGGATATTATGCCCATGATAGTTGCTAATGTTTTTCATTCAATCATGAATTTTCATTCGTAACCGTTTATTACCTTGGATTTCCCCCTAAACTACGAATCTCACCACTGACGCCACCGATCCACTCGAACCTTTATCGTTTATACGTGGTTGAACTTTTAGCTATTTTCTGTCATTCCAAGGTCCAATGTATCCTACGATCGATCAGCTGTTGCAAAGAAAGCAGTTTTAGAAATACAATCCATTTATTATATCTTCATCGTAGAGTTTACTTTCAGAAATTTTTTCTTTATGATACGGAGAATCGGCAACCGGCACAGTGAACAGCGGCCATTTGCGTTCATTATTTACTAGTCTTTTGACACGGGTAACTTGTACATTATCTCAAATTTTATCTCATATGCTGTATTTTACATTATTTGTTTTAATTATTTACGAGCATTACAATGATATTTCACTTATTTTTCAGTAATAAAATTATTATTTTGCTGTGTTATGCAAAATTGTACATTCTGAATTATTCATGTACAATGGTATGGATGAATTGGGCATAGGATTAATGTACAATGCGAATCGAAAAAGAGTCTATATAAATGGATTTGCCTATTTTTGATCAAGTTTCGAATACTTGAATCACTACGGAACATTTTTGGTATAAAATACAAATGATTCAATTTTATGTTTAGCTATCCTTAAGGATGCGGATCTTACCACTACATCTGCTAAGAAAGTAAGGCTACAGATTGAAGGAAAGCTCGATATAGATCTTACCGAGAGGTAAAAGTTCACATAAATTATTCAATATTCATCATCAATATTTAGCGTAAATAAATTTCTTTCGATATTTATGTTTGTACGGGTAATAAATGAATAGAATTAAAAAATGCTATATTGCTACAATTTATACATTGGACACAGCAGGCACTCTTGTAGTTAAAATGACTCAAGAGAGAGATCATCTGTATCCTATATTAAAAGAGGAAATTCTGTGTGAGGACTGCTTCTTCAAGTTATCACCTCGTTCCTTCTTCGACATTCTCTTTTTCTCTTTTCTTTTGTTTTCTGATATTTTCCTTTTCTTTTTTTATACTAACCTTAACCGTAATTATATGTTTTACTACGTATTCGTTAGTACGAATTTTACATTGAACTTGTCTACAGGAAAAAAGAAGTAGATGTTTTGGTCATGGAGTGTTTAAAAGAAAAACAAGATGGAGGAAAGAATAAGAAGAAAACTGCTAGCGAAGAATCTGAAGATGGTGAGGAGGAGGAAGAGGAAGGGTCGGAGGAAGAAGAGGAGGAGGAAGAAAAGAAGCCAGCCAAAAGAAGTCCTGCAAAAAAAGCAATAAGCAAGCGTAAGAAGGGATCTTCTGACGATGAAGAAAGTGCAAGCGATGATGATGCAAGCGATGAAGAGTATAATCCCAAAAAAACAAAAGCTACACCCAAAAAAAGTAAGTAGTTTGCATAAAAAATATTACACGTGTATATGTTTGTTGTTTCATCATTTTAATTCGATGTAATATCCTTTATAGATAAAACTAGCAAAAAGGGAAAGAAGAAAGGTAGTGACAGTGACAGTGATGAAGATTGGGGTAAGGTTAAGAAACCACAAGGTGGAGGAACAAAGAAAGGTGGAGGTGGAGGAGCTAAAGCCAAGGGCGGTTATACTCGCGCTATTACACTATCTCCCGAACTTGCTGCTGTTGTGGGTGCTGAACGAATGGCTCGACATGAAGTCGTGAAAAAGATTTGGAGTATTATCAAAGAAAAAGATCTTTATGTAAGTATTAAATTCTATGCTGTGTTACGTTGTCGCCATACCTCGAGTCTAGTATTTTAATATATCTTGTTATTTTATAGGATCCTAAGAATAAACAATTTGCCATCTGCGATGATGAATTATTGAAAGTAATTGGAGTAAAACGTTTTAGAACTTTCGGTATGATGAAATACCTCAAAAGTCATTTTCTAGAGTAAATCATCCTTGAACCACAAATTCTGACAGGTTATAAACATTGTATAACGTATTCCAAGATGCAAAGTGCATCTCTCCATCTTTCTCACACGATACATACATAAATATACATACATACATACAAACACGAACATATTTCTCGCGACTTAAGACTTTAGCCATGTTTACATCATTCCGATAAACTCTGTTGTCCATGGTAGCTGCTTTGTCTTATTGAATGTTCGCAATGTAGCATCTTAATTTATGGGCATTATTAAAAGCGTGGCGCGTTAACGATGTTAAAGGTTGCCCTAAATGTGTACGTAAATGATGACCCACAAGTAGGAATCCATGTAGGTTCGGTCAATGTTAGAACGGTATAAAAAGGGAGGGTTGATACCATGGACGTGCGGATGATTTCGAAATGTGGAAAACATTTAAATGGCCGATAGTCAATAAGCTGGTTTTAAGTCAATGTATTCAGAGTTAATGTTTTATCGTTTGCCTGGTGGTTCTTGTAAACAATCCCTTTCACCACGCATGAAAATACGGTGTGCCATTGTGGCAGTGAAACTAGAGCAGCAAAAACTGCTTTAAATTCTTTTAAAATAAATTTTTGTTTCTTTTTTTATTTTATTTTATTACGTGACACCCAATGATGGATGCAGATCAAATATAAAGGATTTCAATGATAATTAAGTTGCATGCTGTTATCTTTTTCTTTTCTTTTTTTTCCAAATTGTAAACTGCCGCCCAAGTATCACACAATATTTTCATCACTTTAATTTTAATGTTGATTATTTTTCGGCAACAGATGTAACAGAAAGATAAACAATTTTGTCAACAAATGAAAGGAGAGGGGGGGAGAGAGAAGATTTGTGGTAAAGCTAAAAAAGTGCGATAAAAATTAAGAGAAAGACGATGCGAAAAATCAACATCCTGTACCTCTTCTGTATAATTGTTACATTATACACTGAAATTATTACTAAGCGAAATTTAATTGTATTATCGTGTAATTACTAATTATTGTCGTAATATAGGTTTCTTGGTGTAAAAAATTGACCTAACTCTTAAGATTTAATGGTAAAGTGATGTATTCAGTGAAGGTATGATACAATGCATATTAAATCTCACAGAATGTGCAGCACTGCGCAATGTTGAATTGTAGAGAATAAGATAGGTTGATGATATGAGGTACAGAATTAATCCTAGTGTGGATCTTCATGCCTCGTTGTATGAAAAAAATTTGTGTATTTTGAATATAAATTAATGAATGTTGGCCTAAATTAGTGAAAGCCACGAAGAAATCATTGCAAACATTTGATGATAACGAAAATACTACAATGAAGATAAAAATGAAGATGTACACGGAATAAGTAATTATGATACCAGTTTGTTTTTTAAATGAAGAAAAGTACAGGTTGTGTCCTGATATTTCGTGAATGTATTTGAGGACATCATTAAAAGATATTGCTTTCATTTTTTTTTTAAGAGTGCTCTTTGTAGCTTCATTCTGTCGTGAATATCCTCGAATAGTCCTATCCAAGTTCGTCCTTTGTGGCTAATGTGAAAAATAGGTACTTATAAATGTTCCAGTTCTTTCTCCAAGAAAGATACTACGTGTTGATTGTCATCGCGCCTTCCTCGTAGACCGAAGATGTAAGTTAAGAGTTTCTTCGTATTCATATAATTATCTCTTCTCGTTTGAACTTCTTTATCCCGTGGCGGAGCTGCTTGCACGTAAATACCGCTTCGGAAGTTGGACTTGTACGTTTGCGTGCTGCGTGTCGTGTATCGGCTTATACTCGCCTAGAGAAAAAAGTATGAAATATCCTGCTCTGTATCGATCATTAGCAATACTCACTAAATGCAACGCTTTGTTTCTTAATTCCCAGATATTCGAAGAATAATTCTTATCGATAAAATTTGGCAGTATGTGTAAATCTGTTTGAACCATTTGATGTTGACACGTCTTTAATTCAGGTCCTTCTTCCGATAACCTTGTCGATTTTTACGTATACAATGCAATTATTTCAGAGCTTATCGTTTCTTCTCTTTTACTTTCAAGTACTTACACTTCCTGCGTTTGTAGAGCTCGAACATCATCGTGTACTTGGAACAAGTACACGTATTCAAGATGATTACGTATGAAATCAAGAGCTTCGTAGATGCATCTACGATAAATTCCCTTTAGCGATACCTATGTTTCTGTAGTTCGAAGAAAGTAGCATTACCTGTCAGGATTTTGTCCGAATTTTTGGGCTGCCTTAATCGTGCTAAACACGTAATATTTTCCTCTCCATTTAGCGACACCATTGTTCGGATTTCCCGGGACCAATGCTCCATTTCCACTGACAAACTTCCACGCGCAAAATCCTAGAAACTGATAATGAATTTATTAACCTAGAGAAATCGCACTTGTTATGCGTTCTAAATTTCAGTGTCTCGCGCAATCTTCGACCTTAATATCTCGCGCGTAATAATACCTCTAAATTTATGTTCTCGAAATCTTTGGTTTCGTTGGGGTAGTAAATAGTGCACTCGCCGCAGTCGACTGAAAAGAATGCGTAATTTAATTTCCGGCTTTTCGTCTTCGGCCAATGTTACCGTATTAATCTATAGCTCATCTTGTTACCTATTAGTTCGCCCATTGATTTTTCTAATCTCTCAGCATCTGTGAGCACTTCTTCGCTAGACAGCATGTCGCTCAATAATGGTTCGTTATACACGTTCACGGTCTATGGTATGTTGAAATATTTAATCCACTTTTCATATACATACGTAATTATATCGAACGATTACCTTGGTACCCAAAGTTTGAAATTCCCAAAGGAAATTGTTAATGCTGCTCAATATAATCACTTCGTCCTGAAGTCCCATCCAGATATCAGCCAAATCGATGAATTGCGGCTAAACAAATTCAACGTTTACGAAACGGAAAATCGCACAGGATTTTTTCAAAATGAACAAAATGCTTCCTTACGTATACTTGAACAGTTGGAATAGCAGTCCTGTATCTCACGGTGTCGTGAAGCTTAAACAAACGTCCTTGGAGTCGTTCCATAGAGCTTGCAATCTCTTCTTCGCCATGTGCCACATCGCTCAGCAGCTTCCTAAGATGGAAGAAACAACGATTAGTTTTCGAAATTGACGTGCAATTATCACCACTGAATATTAAACAACGCAACCTGACATAAATTTCTTGCTGTCGGCATGCCGTCAACATTTCGATTGCCCAGTTAACATTTTCTTTTGTAAGAACGCCAAATGGTATTATTTCTCTGACATAGCAAATCTTCTCGACGACAGCAGTGAATCTATATATTTTCGTCATTAAACGTTCTAAAAATTCCATGATAGAGTCTCGAGTTTCTTTGATAGCTTTTTGCAAAATGGCTGGCACTGAAGAGATACTTTGCATTAGCGATTTGTTTACCATCACGTGTCACTCGTTCTAATAATCGTCAAGGCCTTACGATCGTCTATGCCTTCTCCACCACGTTGACAATCTCTGTTAAACAAACGTATCCCGGCGACGATGCACATTAATTCCATTAATTGCTCTTCTTTCTCGCGTTTCGACATTTTTACGTATTGCTCCAGTTCTGAAGGTTGGAAAACGCTTTGCAATGCTACTGAAACCTCTCTTAACAATCCATATTACGACAGTGTCCTTTAATATTCTCATTCATAATAAATATCATAATTTATTTTAATATATGATTACCTGAGTACGAAAGATATTGTGGGATTCCCAAGACCGCTCAAAAATGTAATGACTACCAACATCTTTTGATATAACTTTTCACATTCTTGTTTATTAGCGATCTTCTCAGTTTGACAAATTTCCGCAACAATTGGGCCAGTTTTCTGGTGTAAACGTAGCCTATGCCGCTTAATGGTATCGTCTACGGGAATGGAATATATATGATCGTATTGCGTTAATCATTTGGTATATTGACAAATTTTCACCTCTATTTCGATAATGTTTCGCAAAATATAATTGACTCTTCAGTGTCGTCAGGCTTGGTTTTTCTTGGTCGCATATTTTGTCAATTATCGCCCGAACAATTTTTTCGTTGTTTTCCTCGTCGTCCACTTTAATCTCGTACATAGGATTTAATCGAAACAAGGTGAACTGCGAGCGTGTAAGAAAAGAGAAAAGTATTTATCTAGGTTAATTAAAAATCAAACTTTCACGAAAAAATGTACATACCGAAAAGGAAACGAGATCTTCAGTCGCACGTACGTTTCGTTCTTGGCACGAAGTCATTATTTTGTTTATCAATTCCCTTCGCAAGTTTTCCATCATTAAAATGTAAATATTACAAATAACTAGCGATACAAATTGATATTTCAAGTTATCGTCGGTCGCTCGCGGCCAGTTTCCTTCGTGTAGTTTGATCGATACTCCGGAATCTAAACCCCTTATGTTAAGAACTCGGTGAATATTTCAAGTAATAGGCTATATTTCGTCTGGGAAAAAATTATTTCGAAAGACACTGTTTAGTTCTTTACCTTTTCGCGATTATATGCGATTATATGCTCAATTATGTTTTCGTTATTCGCAATAACCTATTAAGTTTCGTGTATTTTTCTCGTAAATAGCAGCTAATCGTCTTTACAAAGGTCAAGGAAAAAGAAATCAACGTGGATAATTACAATCAAAGAAAAAACATAAGGAGAAAAAGTATAAGAAAAAAGATACGAAAGGGAGACGTAAACGAGGATTTGAACGCAACTGTAATCGGCGCGCTTCGAGCTCGGCAAAGTTCGGGGGCGTTCGTGAGATTCGATGGCTCGATACACCGGTGAGGTGGGGGTCGAGGTTCCGTCAGAGGTGTCGCAACAGTCCAAACCGGCGAAGCAGTCGGGTTGGGTGGTCAGTACGGTGTGGTGTGCGCGTCGTAAAAGTAGATAGAGGACCGAAGGCAAAAACGTGATTACCGGTTGTCATGACGTTCGCGTGAATCTCGTGCATTGCGATTCGCTGCCCAAGAAACATGTTGAGTGATATCTGGTGCTCGAATTCGCAATGTACCGTCAGTGATGCGACGGTGCAGTGCAAATTGGTGCTGGTTTTGGTGCTACTCGCAATCTTGCCTGACGTATACACCGAAAGTCATGGTAAGTCGTCGAAATTTTCTCTTTTCTGTCAGGGAAACAGTCAATCGGAGTAGCGTCGCGTGTCCTTTCAGTGGCGCAATAATCCATCCAAACCTCTATTCGCCTTTGTTTGTTTGTATCGTTCTCGCGTTCGGTAGCTCAAACGTAACCACGTTTTTTTCTCTATCCATTGCTCGTTAAATTCGACGACGCATATTCACTGCTGATTCTTATTAATTCTACGTACACAATAATTTTTTGTACATTCTGTGACACTAGCATACCATTCACTTCGATTAGGTATCTCTTATTCGCGTTATGCATGTACATAGATATAGCTACACTTATGCAGTTATGTTGCCCCGACAGACACGTTTCATTGCGGGTCAAACGAATACTTTTCCCTGCCCGCATTGTCAATGCAAAAGCTACTTTGGTGAAACGCAGGCTAGTTGGGTTTAAAGTCGTTTCGATTACCGAAACTTTGGTTTAGTCGAAGTCGACGTTTATTATTTAAACGAAACTGCCGGAGAGCTCGCGTACGTTTAACGTATGCGCATATCGTAAAGCGCGCAGGGTGGAAGCTTTCGAGTGGCCAAACAATGCAAATCCTGCTAATGTGAATATAGTCTATTAACGCATACATTAACGTATACATTAACGCGAACCCACGCTATCGTCGGATCTCCTTCCTACAAAAAAACGGTCAGGCCAACTGGTTATCTGTGTCTGTTTTTATCGGAATGAATAATTGGCGCTAGAAAACAAAGAAACGTAGAAAATTGTAGCTGCCAGAAGAACTGGCCGAGAAATTGATCTCCATCGCGTTTTCGACGAGGGGGGTTGGGGTGGGGGGTCATCGTACGGATCGATGAAGATTTACGAGCAAACTATACGCCTAAATAGCTAATACTCGCGATAATATCGAGAATTTACGAGGATCCGGTTTAATCATTTATCCCGAATACCAAGAGTGTAACGCGACTGCTATTACGTCTTCGCATAACCTATAAAACGCTCATTGTTTCTTCGAGTCTACGTTGTCCGGCGCCCGAGATGCAGTCGCATCGATCTAACGCGATATTCGAATCGATATTTTTCGAAAGTGTCAAGGACGTTGCTCGTCGAAGGGTTCGGCCGGTAGTTGGCGACAGTGTAGCATAAACGAAATGAATCCCGTGGCCGCAGCCGAGATTTCGCGAGTATTTCGCGTTACGTTAAGTTGGAAACAAAAACGAAGCTTGCGAAGCGCACGGTCGAGGCCGTGCATAAGAGAGTAAACGGTTGGCTCGCTGCGAGACATTGTTTCTGCAAGTTACAGGCTCGTTGCATTCGGGAAACAATGTATGCTAACGAATTCGCCGAGCACTCTCGAAGAACCTCGTCCCGGTTTCACTAGTAAAACAATATTTCTCGCGTTGCGTTTCCCAAACGCAAACGGCACAGAAACGGTCTTGGCGGTACGGCCGGGGGAAGAAAACGAGTGGCGCTAGTAGTAGCAGCAACAACAACGGCTTAATTATTCGCCGCTCTGCACGATCTCGCGTCGTATGTTCGTTATTTTCTCGTCCTTCTCGGAACGCTCGCCAGTCCGTGAAGGTACTCGCCGAATGTCCTTGAAAGTGACTATAGCTGTTTGGCTTCTCCGGTACTATGGATAATCGGGCGACGATTCGAACATCCATTTGCAAAACACGTCTCTCGACGCACGGTGTGTTTTCATTTCTTTTTCCTACCTTCGCGTCGCATTCCCCCTTTCGTTTCACATGCCTGTGACGTCTTCCTGCTCCGTTTCGCGTCCTGTCACATGTCCTTCCGTATATTTCGTACATACCGAGTTTACATTCGGGCCGAGAGGATCGTACTCCAGCACGCTTACGCCGCCGGCGAGATTAATGGGGTTAGAGTATATTACTCCGTAGTCCCATCGAGAGATCGTAAATAACACTGCTCAACGCGAATTTTAATCTTTAATATCCATCGGGTAATTCTGGCGGAGTTTACTTTTTTAAACGCAAATCCGTAATTGAAATTGCTCCATCTCCCTCGGTTTTCGAAAATTGTGAGTTTTTCTAGAAATGCACGAGTTTTGGCTGAAATTAAGTATTACATAAAAAGTGAGAACGTTAGAAGGATCATTCTTATCTCAAAAGTTAGGTTGCAGTATCCCGAGGTTTGTTCGAAAGAGAAAGCATGGAACAAAATTGTCGAAACAGTTTTCATTTGGATTAAATTGAGAAAATATTCGTCATTTACGCGTATACGTGGTTTTATCGCCATGCAGCCATTTGCTCGCTTCTCTAGCCTCGATAGTGCCGTAGTTACGCGTAATCCGAGTATCAAATACAATGTAGCTGACATGTAATAGTGTACGAAAAAAAGAAAAAGTACAATTTTACTATAAAATTTTGGAAAATTGACAAAGTTCAAAATGAACTTTGAAAATTTACAATAGTTAGGAAATATCTTAAACTCGGAGCGTAGCTCTTTGCTTGGTATCGTTTCCCAAAAATTATTTTTTCGAAAACGATACCAATTACCAGGTCTCACCACGTGGAGGTGGCTACGCATCGAGACCCAGACATGCGCTCTAGCGGCGCAACCTACTGGTGCTATCCGTATCAAAGGTACCCTAATCTAACTTGGAGCGAATTAAGCTAAAGCGACTCTATTGACACTTTATTATATTTAGTGTCTTACAAAGGGGACTTCGATTCGTTATACTAAAACTTTACTGTCGCAACGCTAAGATATTTTATTACAACAGACACTAATATTTCAAAGTTCCCATAAAATTGGGCAACAAAATATCAAACACGCGAGCAAGTAAAAAATCGCGACGCGCCCGAACGAGTTCGCGATTATTCGAAAGACCGACTAGCCTACGAGACGTACTCTCGTGTACAAGACAACTTCATGCCTCGGCCCCCTCCCGATCGAACCTAGTCCATCCAGCCCCCACAGACCCTGCCATGACTTACTCGCGAACGAGAGCGATCGACGAACCAGCGAAACACCCAAAATCAAGCCGAGAGTCCCTAGCGAGGCTCTGTAGCCGGTCACGCAGGCCCCTGCCACATGGGGGAGAAATTAATCATCCCATGGGGTCTGACCGCAAGCCCATATGCAGTGTCACGGCTACAGGACCCATACCCCGGTCGTGCACGCGCTGGTGCCCGGGACGACTAGGGCCGACAGACCCTCGAATTGACCCAGGTGAGTGCCAGCCCGCCGACCACCCTAGAACCGATGCGTGACAAGGGTGGCAGTGGCGAGGATGAGTGTCGGAACGAATCGTTTGGATGACTTATGAAACATGGAGTTATCGAATACACAAGAGTACGTCGCGTAGGCTAGTCGGTACTTAAGAACGATCGCGATTATCGCGAGAAAAATTATGTTCTATTTTGGTAAACGAGGGGAATAGAGGAGGATAGAGAATTGATATATTTCGCTCCAAGTTAGATAGCGTACCTTTGTACAGAAAGCACGCACATGAAACTTAGCCTAGGAATCTATCTTATAACTGCTTATAACTACTTAGGTCTAAACGCACGCATCCCGCGTCGTCCATTGATGTATCGCAAATGAAATCTTGCGGAAACTTGAGAATATTGAAAAACCTAAAAGCTAAAACAGAATATATTATTGTTAATATGAACCTGAAATGAAACGGATTAATACCAGGAAAGAAAACGAACGAATATAAACTACAATGATCAACAAAATGGAAGGAATAATACAACGATGAGATATAAACTACCCAACGACGAGACGTTCGAATATTATACGAAATATTCGAACTGTTAGATAAAAATAAATAGAAACGAGAAAATATTATCTGAAAGACTAAACAAGAATTAAAACCTGGAAAAAAAGAATAATTAATATCTGAAAATAAAAATTATTGACAACCCAACGATGAGACATGAATAACCCAACGATGAGATATAAACTACCCAACGATGAGATAAACAACCCAACGGTGAGACATTCGAATATTATACGAAATATTCGAATTGTCAGATAAAAATAGATAAAAACGAGAAAATATTATCTGAAAGAAAAAACAATAGTTAAAACCTGAGAAAGGAAAAATTAATTAATAGCTGTAAAGAAGAAAGAAATTTTTAGTAAATTGTTTAATGGGGTGGGGTGAGGGTGGGGGGCCATCCCCAACCTCGCTTCGGACTCTTACTCCTCGCCCCTTACATAGCCGCTGATCGGTCGAACCCCCACCCCTATCACAAAATTTGCGGACTTTTATTATTTATTATTTTTCCGCTTTAATAGCCAATAGTTTATTAATTTTTTCACTTTTATTATAAATCTACGTTGCAGACAATTTGTTACTAACAATATTAATTTGTTATTAACAATTGGTGTAATAATATTATAAATTTTTTGCAAATTATAGATACATTTTAACACAAGGACGTTATAAATTCAAGTAATAGTCAATAATTTATTAATTTTTTCATTTTTATTATAAATTTACGTGGTAAACAATTTGTTATTAACAATATTAATTTGATACTAACGATAAATATAATAATTTATAAACTTTGTTTATACTTTTAGAATATAAATTTCCGTGGTGTATTTATATTGAGTATTTGTATGTCTCGAGCAATTTGTTATTAACAATTTCAATTTCATATTAACGATAAATTTGATAACTTCTACATGTTTTATGAAGTAGCACGAATTAATTTTAATTATTAACATTGATACACTCGTAACTTGTAAGACAACGATGAAGCTCCTAACCTTCTTACTTTTTACATAATACTTCGTTTTAAATAAAAAATCGTGCGCTTTTAGAAAAACTCATATTTTGCGAAAACCCTGGGTGATGGAGCAATCTCGATTACGGATTCGTGTTCAGAAAAGTAACCTATACAAAGTCATAATCACCTATCGGATATTACGGATTAGCGAAAAAGTTAAAATTTTTTGGACAGTGTAATCGTTGACAAGAGATCCAGCTCCATTCGCGCTTTTTACTCGATTGTACTCGT